CTGGAGAAGACCCTGATGCTGGGAAAGATTGAAGGTCAAAGAAGACGGGGACGGCAAAGGATGAGATGGTTAGACAGTGTCATCGATGCAACGAACATGAAATTGAGCCAACTTCGGAGGACGGCGGAAGACAGGAGGGCCTGGTGTGATCTGGTCCATGGGGTCGTGAAGAGTCGGACTTGACTGTGCGACTGAACAACAACAACCCCGCCCTACCCCACAAGTGGGCTCTGGGCAGCTCGCCACATGTAAATGTAATCATTTAAAAGACTAAAATATAATATAACAAAAGATTAAAATTCAAATCCGTACATAAATCATGATACAGTTAAAGTGCTCTCCGAAAGTTTTGACCCCTCTATGTGTGCTCATATATACTGATTTTTAGCAAGTGGCAAAAATTCCCACCACTCAATACATAAAAAATACCTGTGAGTGACGCGGGTGAGTAGGTGGGGAGGGCGCGGGGGTGTGTGTGTGTGAGATCTAATATGGTGTCCGCCGCCTCAACCAGAGGCCCGGCGGAACAGCTCTTATCTTAGCCAGGGCTGGTTCCAGGTCTTGAGGGGCCCTCCATCTGCCCCCCACCAGGGCCCCCCTCATGCCCTCCTTTCCACCCTCATACCTGCATGGGGTTTTCAGGTCCCCTCAGCTTGCCAGCGGGAGGGATTTGGGGGGTGTTCTGGGAGTGGGCAGGGACACTGTGCAATGCCACCCATGTGAGGATGTCGCGTGGAAGTGACGCCATCCCGTTCGGGACATCGTGTGGCAACGCTCAGCATTTTGGGCAGAACCATAGAGTTTTGCCCCAAAAGCAGAACATCGCTGTGCAATGCCCTGATATGATGACGACGTCACTTCCGCGTGATGTCATCACATCAGGGATGTCACCATTGAGGGTGGGGCTTCCCCCACTGGCAGAAGCCCCCAAAATCAGGGGAAACCCCGCCCGGACTGTGGGTCTGGCAACCCTATACCTGCATGCCCCCTACTGGCCTGCGCGTCTTCCTCCCGCTCGCAAATCCTTCCACCACCCATGCTCAGTTGCCTCCACCATCCTTCTACCAGCTGCTTTTTCAATGTGGGAACCACCTGCCAGCCGCAAACCCTTCAGGAAATGGCATTGCCCACTTCCCGGACCTTGAGTCATTGGGCAGTAGAGCTCAGAAGAGCTACAGGTGGCTTCCAAGCCACCGAGGATCACTGCTCTAAAACAACCAAAGAGCTGATCTTCACCATGTGCGTGCTTAACCCCAGCAAGGGACATAGGGCAACCCCGGCAAGGGGCTTTCAAAGCAAGTGAGAAGCAGAGGCGGTTTGCCCTGTGGCCTCCTTCTGCAGAGGCCTCCTTGACGCCTTGAGAGCCAGTTTGGTCTGAGAGCCAGTTTGGTGTCGTGGTTAAGTGCGCGGACTCTAATCTGGGAGAACCGGGTTTGATTCCCCACTCCTCCACTTGTACCTGGCTGGATGGCCTTGGGCAAGCCATCGTCCTGAGTGGAAAAGGAAACAAACAACCATGATATCTTATGCCACAAAAGTCTCCAAAAACTAGAAATTTCTTTTTCCAATATTCAGTTTACTGGATGCAATTGAATATTGGAAATGAATACTGGAAAAAGAAATTTCTAGTTTTTGGAGACTTTTGTGGCATAAGATGTCACGGTTGTTTGTTTCCTTTTCCACTTCCTTCCTGTGATCTCTCTCCTTGGTTTGCATAGTTCTTGTAAGAGCTGTTCTGGAAAAAGAGCCGTTTCTGTCAAGAGTTCTCTCAGCCCCACCTACCTCACAGGCAGTGTTCCCTCTAAGCTGAGTTAGTGTGAGCTAGTTCACAGTTTTTTTAGCCTCCGGCTCACACATTTTTGTCTTAGCTCAGGGAGGATGGCTCCAGAGCAACTAATTTATGCAGTAGCCAAATCGCTCGCTCACAATTTTAATGCCGGTAGCTCGCAAAGTAGAATTTTTGCTCACAGGACTCCACAGCTCCTCTAAGCTCACAGGGTGTCTGTGGTGGGGAGGGGAAGGGAAAGGAGTTTGTGAGCCGCTCTGAGACACCTTTGGGTGGTGAAGCGCCATGGGGTATGAATCCAGTGTCTTCTCCTCTTCTCTTTTTCTTCTTCTTCTCTCCCCTCCAAGTACCGACCCTCCTCAGCTTCTGACGCCCTGACGCCTTCCCTCCCGATCTTCACAACGCAGGAAAGTAAACACGTGTGCCTTTTTCTTGAAGATGCCTGCTTTGTTTCCCACTTTCCCACTTAGGGATGGAGAAGTTTAAGGGCAAATACTTCCACAGCCGGGAATACAAAGGGCCTGAGAAGTTCAGAGGGAAGAGAGCCCTGGTGGTTGGCCTCGGGAATTCTGGCTCTGACATCGCCGTGGAGCTTAGCAACGTGGCCTCTCAGGTACCGCCGCCCACACTCTGATCCGGTCCAAGTTCAGCCCTTTCATACCCCAGGAATAAAATCACCCACCATCTTCATCTGGAATAGATGGTGAAAGAAGGAGGGGTGAGAAGTGAAAAGGTCCATAGCTCAGTTACAGAGCACTTATTGCACCCAAAAATGTTATCTCCGGTAAAAGTTATTGGAAGTACCCGATGTGATGTCCCAGCGCCTCAGCCTCCATAAGACGAGGGGCCCAGAGAGTTGCAGGCAGAGAGGCAAACACTCAGCATCTTCCTGTTTACTGTCACTGACTCCCTTTGAAGGGTAGATCAATACCCTTTCGGGCAGGGGTGTCGAACTCATTTGTTATGAGGGCCGGATCTGACATAAAGGAGACCTTGTCGGGCCGGGCCGCGTGTGTCATAAAATGTCATGCCAGGCAGCGGAGAGATAAACTTTATAAAGGACACAAACACGAACACAAAGGGTGTTTTTTTAAACTTAAAATAAAAACATGCTTAAAACATTGGCTCTATAAGCTGCAAACCTACTTTTGCTTGATTGACATTCGCCACAGAAATCTCATGCTCAGAGTCCTGAGTCTAGGACCCAGGTTGAAACATGAAATGGCTGAGCGAGTGAGAGAGTCTGGCGAAGCAAGCTATGATGCAGCAGCAGCAGCAGAAGTGGAAGCAGGAGATGGCCAGTTCCACTGTGGGCCTGAGGGAAGCCCTCCTGGGGCCTAATATGGCCCCAGGTTGTTTAAACTATCTGCCCCTTCTGTAGAGAAAGTGGACCCACCCCACTGCATGGCTGTATAATTTGCTTTTAGAATTCTTGCTGCAATGGTTTTGCTGCTGTCAAGCAAGATTTACCCTGGACTCAGAAGACTGAATTATACTCATGAGCAAGATCCATTAAAATCAATGAGAATCAAAGAACACTGCTTGGAAATTTAAGACTTGTGCTGGCTTTTTGTCCCCTACACCCCCCTTTTGTGTGTCAAGGTTTATCTCAGCTCTAGAAGTGGATCCTGGGTGATGAGTCGGGTGTGGGAAAACGGCTACCCTTGGGACATGTTGATCATCAATCGCTTTGAGACGTTCCTCAGGAACGCCCTCCCTACGGCGATCAGCGACTGGTTGTTCGAGAAGCAAATGAGCAGATGGTTTGACCATGAGAACTTCAGCCTGGTGCCAGTAAATAGGTACTCATAATCAGAAAGGTGGCGGTAGGGTTGCCGGGGCCACGGGCGGGGGGTAGGGTTGGGAAGCTCCTGGAGATTGGAGGGTGGGGAGCCTGGGGGAGGACAGGGGCCCCAGTGGGGTACGATGCCAGAGAGCCCACCCCTCCAAAGCATCCATTTTCTCCAGGGGAACTGATCTCTACACTCTGGAGATGACCTGTAATTCCAGGGACTCCCCAGGCCCCACCTGGAGGCTGACATCCCTAGACCACAGGGGTTAGTTATGAGGGGTCCTTATCCGTGGGCCAATTATATGTACAGGGGAGAAATTCTGAAAACTTAAGATGAGCAGAGCCGTGTCAGTCTGTCTGTAGCACTAGAAAAGAGCAAGGGTCCAGGAGCACCTTAAAGACACACAAAATAGGTGGCCGGGGAGGAGCTCTCGTGAGTCACTTGCTGTGCAGCATGAGCTTCCGTGAGTCAGTGAAGAAGGGAGCAGCACAGGGGAAAGATCAGAGAGGCCCACTCTCTAAATGCTGCTCCCTGAGCCAGTTTTGTCCTCCTCCCTCTCAGTTGCTTTAAAATTATGGGAGATTCTCATCATAAGTCTTGCACTTCGAATCTGGCTTCATCTTTCCAGCCAGGTGACTTGACGGTGTTATCATTATCCCTGAGAAAGTTGTGCCCACGAGCGAGTTGAAGACATGAATCTCTGTTGTCCCAGAACAATAACCTGCCAGAACCATTGAGCAGAGACGGTGGTAGGACGGGGGAATGGGGGAAGGAGTGCGTGCATTACAGGAAGGAGTCCGTGCATTACTTTCTCAGTGGCCTGAAAAAAGACTATTGTCAGATCTCTCGCCTTCGAGGGCCACTCCTCTTAGGTAACGGAACACCGATATTCTTGCCAAGAGTTCTGTTGGGGACAGTTATTTGGCTGTAGCTAAAGAAATATTCAGAATGCTGTTATCTAGAAAGCAGGGACTTCTCCAAGCTGTCTGGGGAAAATATAAACAATCAGCTCCCTCGCAAATACCAGGAATGACAGGGGTGTTAAATGCTTCGGATACTTTTCTAAAGGGAGTTTGATTTGCGCATACCATTCACTGTTGCACAAACATTGGGGTTATAAGGGAATGGCTTGTCTTTATGGAAACAGTTTTGAAAAAATGCAATATGAACCCAAACTGAACCAGGAAACATACCTTAGAAATAGTGTCCTGTGACTGAATTGGCCCGTCTCAACAGGCCAAGGTAGCTCAAACCACAGTCATGCAGTCTGAAGCATACTGGCTTTTGATTACAAGGGTTGATTCCAAAAAGCAATGCAAAAGTGCCCAAAACAGTTTGAAAAGAGTGGTCTGTGTAGCTGCAGCCTGTTCAAGGGTAGTCCCCACCCCCAGGCAGAAGAGTTGGGACGATAATGCAAGACCCCTCTTCCATAAGGCACAACTTGTTTGTAGGAAGAAATTGCAGTCCAAAGACAATCAGAGAACATATGGGATCAAGACCAGCCCATCCACTGGGGGACAAAGCAATTCCCCGGGGTGGACAGAGGTCAGCTGTTTGTCCTTCCCCAGCTTGCTGATGTCTGGGCTGGGTGGGGTGTGCAGGGTGGGGAAATGAGCAGGCCTGCCCTAATGCAGCAAAAGAGCCATCAAACTTAGCTGATATCTGTCTGTCTGGCTGTCTACCTATCATCTCCTTCACACATCTTGTCTGAATTAAGAACATAAGAACATAAGAGACGCCAATGTTGGATCAGGCCAAAGGCCCATCCAGTCCAACACTCTGTGTCACACAGTGGCCAGAAATACCAGGTGCCATCAGGAGGTCCACCAGTGGGGCCAGGACATTAGAAGCCCTCCCACTGTTGCCCCCCCCCAAGCACCAAGATGACAGAGCATCACTTGCCCCAGAGTCCCTATCTATACCTTGTGGCTAATAGCCACTGATGGACCTCTGCTCCATATGCTTATCTAATTCCCTTTTGAAGCCGTCCATGCTTGTAGCCGCTGCCACTTCCTGTGACAGTGAATTCCACAGAATTGAGTTTGTGTACACCATTTCTAGTTACATATGTATGTGCTGTCAAGTTACAATCTACTTATGATGACCCCACAAGGGGCTTTCAGGGCAAGTGAGAAGCAGAAGCGGTTGGCCATAACCTTCCATTACAGAGTCGTCCTTGGTGATCTCCCATCTTAATACTGACCCTGCTTAGCTTCCAAGGTCTGAGGAGGTTGGGTTGTATCATATCATTCCACTCCCCTGTTTCCAGTTAGTAAAGGTAAAGGTAAAGGTTCCCTTGCTCGAAAGCCAGTCGAATCCGACTCTAGGGTTGCGGTGCTCATCTCCGTTTCAAAGCCGAAGAGCCAGCGCTGTCCGAAGACGTTTCCATTGTCATGTGGCCAGCATGACTAGACACCAAGGCGCACGGAATGCTGTTACCTTCCCACTGAAGTGGTACCTATTTATCTACTTGCAATTTCTTGCTTTTGAACTGCTAGGTTGGCAGGAGCTGGAACTAGAGACGGGAGCTCACTCCGTCATGCGGCACACTCGGGTCTCGAACTGCTGAACTACCGACCTTTCACAGCCTGCAGTTCAGCGTCTTAACCACTTGAGATTTACCCATCCCAGTTAGGGATGGGTAAATCTCAGAGCCTGGCTTTGGAACAAACTCCGGCTTGCATACTACATCAGCTAGACATCTCGCACGTATGGTCCCCTAGAATCTGTTTTGCCAAGATTTCTTGCCAAGAGTGTGTGAAGGACCCTGCTTTCACAGAAAAAGATCCCCCCCCCCAGGGAGCGTTGCTTTGTAGGAAAACATTTTGCAACTCTGAAAGGTCCCCTTTGGCTGTGAAAACTGAATTCATGAATATTCAGCTTGGCCCTGATAATTCGCCAGGGACAAAATGACATGTTGTTCCTCCCCTGCCTGCAGTTGTGCAAGAGTCCCTCTGTTCCGTCTTTTCTTAGGACACTGCGCAAGGAGCCGGTGTTCAATGACGAGCTCCCGAGCCGCATCACGTGCGGAAGTGTTGTGGTGAAGCCCGGTGTGAAGGAGTTTACAGAATCCTCTGCCGTATTCCAGGACGGGACTGTGCAGGAAGGCCTCGATTATGTCATCTTTGCAACGGGCTATACCTTCGCCTACCCGTTCATGGATGACGAGTCCATCCTCATGTGCAGAGACAACACGGTCACCCTATACAAAAGCATCCTCCCCCCTCGGCTGGAAAAACCCACCATGGCAGTGATTGGCTTGGTTCAGTCTCTTGGATCAGCGATCCCAACTGCGGAGCTCCAGAGTCGCTGGGCCACAAGAGTCTTCAAGGGTTAGTGGGGCACAGAGGAAAATAACTGGGTCCCAATGCCACCCAGCCCTTTTGAGCCTGTGGGCACCTTTGGCGTTCTGACACTGGATGGTGGGCACGATCGCAAAATGGCTGCCATGAGAGGCGGAGCCAGCCACAAAATGGCTGCCACAGCCGGTGGAGCCAACCACAAAGTCTCAAAGAGCGAGATCATGTGTAGCTCTCTTAACAGTTCAGGCAGAAACTCTGTTTTGAACCTATTTTGTTGCATACGCAGAACTTATCTTCAGTCATACAGCGAAGCTCCTTGGGCTATGGTGGCAGCTACTGCCCAATCAGCTTCTTAAAAATCTGCCACACAGATCTACAATGGCCAGTCAGAAACCCTGTGGGCAAAACCCCCACCTGGCCCTGCCCACTCTCTAAAAAGGCTTAGTGGGTGGCAGGGAAGGCACCATGTTGGGGAGCCATGATGTAAACAAAGAAACAGGAGAAGAAGGATAAAAAAGGCTTCCGAGTCCAGGGCTGATCCTCTCTCTGTGTGCCTGCAGATCTCCGTGCCTGCATTTCTGCAGCTGATGTGCCTGTCTGGCCCTAGTGGGTCAATTGCCCTGGGAAGGAAGTCAAAGAGGAATAAGGCCTCTTTGGTGCTGCAGTTGCCCTCAGGCTGTGAAATATACCTTTGTAATCAAGAAAGAGGCTTATTTGGCCCATGGGGCAGAGCTTGCCTCTCTTCAGCACATGAAGACACAAAGGAAATCCAGTCTTTGCATGCTGAGAACTGGGAGAGTCCCGCGAGTGTGAAGAAAGCAGCGTGTGCCTCTGTGTGTTCATCCATGTGAGAATAGGTGTGGATCTCATAGGACACTGTAATGACTACCTCTGTCTCCTTCTACAGGGTTATGTAAGCTGCCTTCAGAGAGCCACATGATGGAAGACATCGATGAGAAGATGGGGAAGAAGCTCAAGTGGTACGTTTTAAGAGCAGAGTCTCCTGTGTGCTGCTTGAAGCCTCCAAAATTCTGTCATGTTTGTCATTGACACGATGGTTTCCTGCAGTCAAGGGGTTCGGGGGATTCCATGCTAGAAATTCTGATATTTCTTAGCTGCTCAAATAGATAAGCTGTAAGTTGGCATCCTTCAGATGGATCCCCATAAAAGCCTTGAAAATATGGGAGGCAATAATCCAAAGGGGAGGGAAGGCGGCATGGTGTGGCCCGATCTCGTCCGATCTCGGAAGTGAAGCAGGCTCAGTACTTGGAAGGGAGGCCACCCAGGAAGACTCTGCCATTTTTGGATTTGATTTGGAGGTAAGTCAGTTCTCGGGAGTTGTAATTACAATCTTTACATCTGTTATCCAGCTCCTGTGCCTTTTAAAGGCGCAGTTTATTATTTCCCCCCAAATTGCATCAGTTAAATTAAAGCAGTGAAGCTTCAAAAATCACTACGTTGTCAAACACTTCAAACATCAAAGCAGAGTGTAGAACAAAGCAAACAAAACCTATCCGTCATATCAGTTTATTTATTTATTTTATTTATTTATACATTCGACTTTATATCCCGCTCAGACCCCCTTGTCTAGGGGGTCTCTGAGCGGCTTACAGGTCGGTGCTAGTCACCATTCTGTTAAGGTAAACTTTAAAATATGTAGGTTGTCGTGGTATCCCTAAAGGTAATAAACATGCGAATTATAATAACAGATTTGTAATACAGCTACAACGTACCCCCATAATAGTAAACAACTTTATTAATCGAATATTCCCGATGTGATCAAGTCAGCTGACTTTGAAGATGAAAAGGAAGCAAAAGACCCCAACCCCACTATATAGGTCTGTTAGCAGTTCTACTGGTTGTGCAAAAATCCCTGTAGATCTTCACAGACGAGTTCGTTTCAGACGCCTGGGGCACATCAGATCTCTCAGATCTCAACTAGTTTAACTGTTGCGGATTTCCCTCATATTGTGTAGTGGGTTAGCTGCATGGACAAAGGACAAAGAGTGGCATAGTGCATAGCACGCTTTATTGGTACACAACACGAACTGGCTCTAACGACCAGCTGGCCAACTATATACACCCTTGGGGACACACCCCTGGGTCCCGTTGGTGGGTTTGAATCTCCCGCCACGGTTCCCATTGGTTCCCCAGTGGAGGGACTAGGAGCCTAGTCCCCATTGTTCTCCCAGAGTCAAGCTCTGGGGTATTCGCTGGCCCCTAGTGGAGGTCAGCGGACATAACACCTCACAATATCCTTGAAATTCCCTGGTCGTTCCTACTGCCCCCCCCTTCAATTCTTAGGGGGCCCTAGCAAGAGGGAATTACAGTTGGACCTTCTGAAGTAGATGGAGGGAGATAAGCTTGTTGCAAAGAGGCAGCCTTAAGCCATTTGCAAAGGACCCTGGAGGTCTTTTTTTGTGTTCCCTTCATACGAATGTCACATGAGTAACCTTCTTGAGTGACATGTTCTTAGCATCTCTTACTGAAGCTCTCTTTAGCTTCCTACATTCACATTATACTCCCACCTTGATACAGCGAGAATTCTGACTCTGTCCTTGAGCCCAAGAATTGCTCTCCCCATCAAGCTGTTGTTCCACCTGCTTTCCGGAGGTGTACATGTGCAGGGAGTATCGTGGTCATTGTAAGGCACTAGAAGCAGAGCCCCCTGGCAATGTATTAGGTAACAAAGGACTACAGATCAAGCTCGAGATCAAGATTAGAATCTCTGTTTGTCTTGAAAGGCAAATGGTAGACCAGTTAAGCCTAGATTCCTACCAGGACTGCAAGAAGCTAAGGGAAACTGGGTCCCCTGCATTACTGTTAGCCTTTTAAAGGGGGGGAAAGGTGGGCACTTGGCTTTTGCTTGCCTTCTTTCTTTAAAATGGAAGGTGGTTTAAACTGGCCGAAAAGTGGGCGATTCTGCATCTGGCATTTACTCCACATTTTCTCAACTGGGAGGGAAAAGTGCAGCTCAAAACCACATTCAAATACCCCGAGGCAACACCATACTGACTGTAAAGTCAACCCTGAAGAGCCATAAAATAGCCATAAATTTATGCAGAAGGTACCATAAAAGCTGATGATCAAAGGAAGAGAAAGTGGCATGCAATGCAGAGGGGAATTTCTGTCGCAACCTGGGTTTTGTACAACAAAGGAAGGAAAAGCCACTGTGGGGTCAGCCTGTGACAGGGTTCTCTTTCTAGCCTGGCTCTAATCCAAACAGAGGTCTTGTGCAGCTGCAATTCAGCTTGAAAGGAAAATGGGCAGTGACAGATTTCCCGGGGTCTTTGCCTGTTTTGACCCTAATTCAGGTATTCCACTTTTGGCAATCCAGCTGTGCATAAGCAGAGATCACAGCCCCCTTGATCTTCCTGGTACGCGTGGTTGCCATTGGGCGTGAATGAAGCACGAGCCCAGCTTTATCGTGAGTCCGCATTCACAGGGACCAGAGTTGGGACGATACGTGTGTCACACAAACTGGCTATTGCATGATCTCCATTTATGCACAGCTTGAGTGCCAACGTTGTAGTGACTGAAAAGAGCTTTTCTGTTGGTGATAGCCAAGCATTTCAAAAGGGTGGTGGGGCAATGCTCCCTCTAAGCTGTTGAGTCTTGTGAGCAAAAATTCTACTTTGTGAGCTACTGGCATTAAAGTTGTGAGCGAGCGATTCTGACTCAGCTTAGAGGGAACACTGGTGGTGGGAGAATAGACTGGCCTGCCCATTAGTGGAGGATTCAGCTTCCCTTCCACCTGGCATGGCGGGGGGTGTCATTGAATATGTGAAAATGCGTGTTTCTGTGCTACAGCTACTCCTGGGAATATGTGTATTTTCTCAACACATATTTTTCCAAAAGGAGACCCAGATTCAGTGCCTCTTCCATGTCTGGTTGAGAAGTTCATCTACCCAACATCTTCCTGCTTTTCTTTAAGGTACGGCCAGTGCGATTCCCTGCAGACAGATTACATCGTCTACATGGACGAACTCGCCTCTGTGATTGGCATCAAGCCCAACATTCCACTCCTCTTCCTGACAGACCCCAGACTGGCCGTGCAAGTTTATTTTGGCCCCTGCAGCCCATACCAGTTCCGCCTGACGGGACCCGGGAAGTGGGACGGGGCCAGGAACGCCATCCTGACCCAGTGGGACCGAACGCTGAAGGCCACAAGGACCAGAATTGTACACAGTCCTCAGAGCTCTTTCCCACTCTGTGCTTTCCTCAGAATTTTGGCCCTCCCACTTCTCATTGCCGCAGTTTTTTTGGTGTTTGTCTGATTCATCTCTGGGTGGAACAAGATGCAGCAGCAGCTGCTTAAACCCTGACCTCCACTTGTGCAGGAAGAACGGGGTGAGGGGGAAGGGACACACGGGGAGGGGTGCAGAGCCTTTGCCCCTCCCATGACTTACCTGATCCCCAACCCTAAACCCCCAATATCACTTCCAGTTTCAAGAGCTCTTGGGGCAGTGCATTTGGGTCTACACGAAGCAAGATATACCCAAAAAACTCCTTATCAGTATGTTTCAGGTATATTCCACCTTCCCAAATGTATTTGGGTTTCCTTGGGGAAACTGGGGGAAAAAATCCCCCAAAAAATCCTGGATACATTTGGGAATTACCGGTGGATCCGAAAGCAGAGGAGAGCAATCTGCTCCTGCCTCTCAGCTGTTTCTCGGGCTTCTACTGCAGTCCCTTTAAAGTTTAAAGGGACTGCAGAAGACAGCCTGAGGATCAGGATTGGCTGTGCTGGGGGACTCAGATCCTGGGTGCAGTGCAGTTTAAACCATGCTGCAGGAGAAACCATCTCAGCCAGGGTCTGCACACCTCAGGGGGCAATCTCCCTCAGGCACACAGACCCTGGGTCTAGCTCCTTAGCCTCTATAGACACTTCTGCACACACTGAATAACACACTTCCAGTTAGGGTTGTGAGTTCTGGGTTGGCAAATTCCAGGAAATTCTGGGGGTGGAGCCTGGGGAGGACTGGGAGGGGCCTCATCGGGGCATAATGCCACAGAGCCCACCTTCCAAAGCAGTCATTTGCTCCAGGGAAACTGGTCTCTGTAACCTGGAGACCAGTTGTAATTCTGGGAGATCTCCAGCCACCACCTGGGGACTGGCAACCCTACTTTCAGTCCACTTGGCAACTGGGTATTAATGTGTAGAACAGAAAAATTCACCTACAAACAATCCCTGTAGTGCACTGAAAGTGGATTGAGAATGCGTTAGTCAGCGTGTGTGAAAGTGCGCATGTTCCTCCGGGGCAAATGGTTGGCCACAATGTGAGACAGGATGTTGGAGGAAATGGATGACTGGTCTGACTCTCTGTTCTTAAGAACAGGCTACAACTCCTGAAATGCTGTTTTCTATGTAGAATAAAGTTTTAGGGGATGGAGAAGCATTTGATCCCACGTGCCCCACCTGTAGCTTGAAGCGGCAGCTATAAGAACCAGGGCCTGACCCCATCTTTCCGTTGAGGTAGTTCCTTCATCTGCTCTTTCTGAGTCCCCAGCTTCAATCCTGGCTACCACATGGCTTGTGATACGCATAGCACATCTTGCAAAAGATATATAGTTCCTTCCTCTCTTTGTTGTCTTCTGTTCACTATAGGGGTGTTCAATTTTTAAAAATTCGGTATATTTCAGTACTACTGGACCTGAGGAGGGCAGCCATTGACCACGTGCTGCCCTAAAGAGCTGGAACAAGCTTCAAGGTAATGGAATCTCTGTAGAGATCTGTATGTTCCTAAGCAAAAGGAGCCTGTGCTATATTTTAACATCTGATAGGGCATGTATAGAGAGGGACAGAGGATTTGTATTTTACCCATTTCTTTTTAATCCCTTCCTCAGTCTGGTGCTGTGCTAAAAGCATAGCTTGTGAACATTTTCTTTTTAATAAATACTTTATAACTTTTGATGCTCGTAGTGGTTTTCTGTACTGCATAGAACTCCACCATCTTGAACACACTATTTTAAAAGCAGTGCCAGGGGAAAGGCAGGCAGTTGGCAAGTGACTATTCAGATAAAGCTAGATCGTCAAGTTGTCAGAACCCACAGCCAACAATGAAGTACATGCATTCAAGAATGGTAATACTTTTATTGCAGAGCTATAGATGCAGTAACATAAGCACTGTTAAGAATGGCGGCGGCCCCATGGGCATAATAGGATATAGGGTATTCGTATGCACCCCCCCCCAACAGCACTGGCCAATTAGGCACCCTCCCGCGCGGGATAAAGCTTGGAGACCATTAGGTAGCTAAAGCTGAGAACCAACACTCTCCCATGGCCCCTAGGAAAACCCCAGACAATACAACTCCCTCCTGCACATCTGTATAAATAAGCATTTTGGCGAAAAGCAGGAAAAGCACAGAAAGGAATGCAGTAGCAATTAACCTGAAAGGAATGCAGTAGCAATTAACCAGACACAGCCCGAGTTCCCCAACCTTCATGGCAGCATAGCTGACCCAAGTGCAATCCCAATTTGATTGAGTTTAAATTTAATTGCGGCATCCTAGTTCATATTATGCAACAAGTGGCTATTCCTCCAAGAGCACACAAGGCAGCAAACAGTCCCTGTGGTGACCAGACGCTGGGCAGTGGGAGACAGAGAGGCCAGGCCTCAGAACTTGGAAGGGAAGCTGGGAATCCGGGCCCTCCCAGTGGGCAATTCCTCCAAAGGTCAGGTGGGTTACCAGAGAGAGAGAGAAAGAGAAAGAAAAGTCTCTCCAGGTGGTGGTGGGGGGACTTGGAAGGCAGGGGGGAGCAAGGCCTGCAGGCCAGATCAGGCCCATTCTGCCACGAGTTGTATAGCTTAAGAGAAAATAGGGAGAATCAGGGGTCGTTTCGTAGAAAAAGAGCTAGGGGAACTCATTAGCATAACCCATTAGCATATGCCACACACCCTGACATCACCGGAAGTGTGTCATAAGGCCACACCCCCTGACATCACCGGAAGTGTGTCATAAGGCCACACACCC